TTATTGCCCCCACAAACTGGGTCCTCATTTAACCTACCTTAGAAAGGATGGAAGGCTGAGTCAACCTTGAGCCTGGTAAGATTCGAACCTGCAGTAATTGCAGGCAGCTGTGTTAATAACAGGGTGCTTTAAACCACTGTACTACCACGGCTTGTTGGTAGCAGTTGCATATAGCAGCACCATATTGAAAAATCCTCCTGCATTTTTTTTCTACCAGTTCTGATTCAATTTGATGAGAAAACATATATTTCCAACATTTCTTTTAAAGGAGAAAGGGAAATTGGGTTAGTTCTGATGCAAGGGTAAAATCCAGCAGGTTCTGACAGGTTCTGGAGAACCGGTAGCGGAAATTTTGAGTAGTTCGGAGAACCGGCAAATACCACCTCTGGCTGGCCCCAGAGTGGGGTGGGAAGAGATTTTACAACATCCTTCCCCCAAGAGTGGGGAGGGAATGGGGATTTTGCAGTATCCTTCCCCTGAAATGGGGTAGGAATGGAGATTTTGCAGTATCCTTCCTCTGCCACACCCACCCTGCCACGCCCACAGAACTGGTAAAAAAAAAATGAATTCCACCACTGTTCTGATGGGTAGAGCATGACAACCTCATTTAGTTGCAAAGGGACTAATGGGGATGTGTCAATGCCCTGTTTTTCATTGATAATGATCATTTTCTCTGGTTTCCTATGTTTGAATTACAATCCAAGGAAAGAAATTGCAAAGGAACTCTTCCAATCGAGGTCTTCCAAATTGGAAAGGATATATAGGATAAGGGCATTATCTTACAGAGGTCATAGTCTCCCAATAGATAGATAGATAGATAGATAGATAGATAGATAGATAGATAGAGAGAGAGAGAGATAGAGATAGAGATAGAGATAGAGATAGAGATAGAGATAGAGATAGAGATAGAGATAGAGATAGAGATAGAGATATATAAATTCAGATTGCAAAAAATTGCAGACTGCCAATAGGTGCTTTACAGCAAATCAATAAAGTCAGTAAATTCATCCACCTTCATAAAACCAATGAATCTTTTTGACCTTATTCTATCTCAAACCAGTCAATCTGAAGTTTACAACCCAAAGAACAACAAATCAGAGTGTAGAGAATCCAGGAAATTGAAAAAGGTTTCAGCGGCAATCAAAAGAAAATCAAGAGATGCAAGAAACATATAGTTTCTATATGCAAGAAACATATAGTTCAGTGCCACTGTGTAATTTCACATTGATGACAACTATCTCCAAACTGGCAAATGATTCTTTCCAGCAGCTTCATAACATAAATATTAAATAACATGGCTTCTTCAAAGGTATCTTTGCTCAACCATAAAAAAAAATAAAATTACAAGTTCTCAGTGGCAAGATGGAATCCTTAGAAGGAAGAGATCCAACATACAAGTAGTGACACAATTCTGGTTTGGTTCTGCAACCCACCAAGACAGACACAGACTTCAGAGGATAATTAGAACTGCAGAAAAAACAATTGCTACCAACCTGCCTTCCATTGAGGACCTGTATACTGCACGAGTCAAAAAGAGAGCTGGGAAAATATTTACAGACCCCTCACATCCTGGATATAAACTGTTTCAACTCCTACCCTCAAAACAAGGCTATAGGGCACTGCACACCAGAACAACTAGACACAAGAACAGTTTTTTCCCGAACGCCATCACTCTGCTAAACAAATAATTCCCTCAACACTGTCAAACTATCTACTAAATCTGCACTACTATTAATCTTCTCATCGTTCCTATCACCCATCTCCTCCCACTAATGACTGTGTGACTGTAACCTTGTTGCTGGTATCCTTACGATTTAAATTGACTGTTTTCTAATATGATTTGATTGCTTATTTGTTCCCTATGACTATCATTAAGTGTTGTACCTTATGATTCTTGATGAACGTATCTTTTATTTTATGTACACTAAGAGTGTATGCACCAAGACAAATTCCTTGTTTCTATTCTATTCTATTCTATTCTATTCTATTCTATTCTATTCTATTCTATTCTATTCTATTCTATCCTTAAAATTAGATGCAAGATCTTTATCCACTTCTTCATGGGACAAACAAAAAACTGAGATGACGGCAAACCACTGAATTGTGGAGCTGCTCAAAATGAAATCAAACTTGGCAGGAATCCAAATAATCTTCTATGTATTATCCTTCACAATGGTACTCATATAATATCAGGCAGCAACTAAAATTACTTAAGAACAAAAGATGGATATATATATCGTATTTGTCCCATTTGGTCCCTACAACAAAAAGTCAAGGAAGTAGGTTGGATTGAGAGAGAGGCTAGCATGAAGACAATAAATAAATAAACAATACTCCAATCAAGGAACTATTAATGCAGACAAATAATCAAACAGTAAACACCACCCTAATCAAGGAATCACTAAGAACACTCTCACCAACACTGATGGGACAAGTCACCTATGTATAAACAGAGTGCAGATCCTTCTAGTACTGATAATGTTTCCTAGCTGGGTAATGAAATGTCTGCAAGAAAAAAACCAAGCTCAGAGAGCACCTAGGACCCCAGACTCAATAACAAGTTCTGGTTTGCTGTGATCTTGAATATGAGTCTCTCTGTGTTCTATAATATGATAAGCATTACCTCAAGAGTTTTTCATCTTTTCACAGCAAAAATAATTTAAGAACATTGCCTGACAAAGATGTACCATTAAATTTTATAGTCATCTCCCCCTACCGTCACGCAAATATCTCTCTCCCCTTGGTCTAAGGGAAAGCACTGCAAATCCAGGGACTAGTATAAAGCCCTATCAATAAACCAATGAAATTATCAATCGTATGCCTGGCATTTAAAATCCATGGAGATATAGTAGAAGATCCTCTGTAACAAATTTCCCTGCTTAATGACTGAATATTTAGCAGGCTGAATACCAAGCCTGTTAGGACTTAAGCCAAGGTTCTGGCAAAGCTGGAGAAAATTCATGGAGACCAGAGTAAACACGTGAAGATGCAAATGTTCCAAGGACACATAAAATATAGTTAATGGAACTTGTGGGAAGGAGATCAAGTCCTCCTACTATACAATCTTTCCAATAATCAGTCAGAGGGTTAAAAATTACAATGAGAATGACCTCCAGAGAAAGATTAAAATGCAACAGGAGAAATCTAATCAGGTGAACATTCCTCCCAGTCTTAACTGGAGGCCTCTTCGATCATATTAGGGAAAAAAAATCATTTTCCATATTATATTACAGTTTCAATCAACAAATGCTAAACAAGCAGCATACTGAAACTCAGCAGGGTGTCTGACTGGAAAAAGTGCATTTTCTTGGAATTCCTAAAAAGTACACTTGTGCATGCTTTTGAGGAACAAAGTTAAAGTTTTCCTATATTTTCCCACCTAGGAGCCTGGTGGTGCAGCAGACTAAACTGCTGCTGTTAAAGTAGCACTTAGCTGCCAGCTGCCTGCAATTACTGCAAGTTCAATTCTCACCAGGCTCAAGGTTGACTCAGCCTTCCATCCTTTTGAGGTAGGTAAAATGAGGACATTAAGCTATTGCTTAATGCATTGTAAGATGCCCTGAGTCTCCGGAGAAGGGCGGCATATAAATTGAACTAATAAATAAATAATAAATAAATATAAGGGGTTTTAGGAAAGACTTAACAGTAACAGAGTTGGAAGGGACCTTGGAGGTCATCCAGTCCAACCCCCTGCTCACGCAGGAGACCTGTACTAGGGATTCGAACTGGCAACCTTTCTGATTGACAAACTCAGTGTCTTAGCCACTGAGCCACCTAGTTAGACTTAGTAAGTCCACCTTCAACCGCTGACTCTGCGTTGCACTGGCAGAAATCAACTTCATCTCCAGTTCAAGCAATTGCCTCTGTACCAATAAAGGAGAATATTTGTAGCTCGGGATTGAAATGAGACACTTATTCGGCAGGCTGAGGCAAAGAGGCAGTCCCAGAACCAGCGAAATCTGGGAGCTGGGCAGGGGACAGAATGTATCTGCCCTCAGCGTGGAAGGGATTGCCACTCTCGAATTGGCCCTTTTAGTCACACTAAATGCTGTTTTAGGACCTCTTTCCAGAGCACGATACCATAGTCTCTTGAGACTGAAGGATGCCAATGAATGGATTGAAATTATTATTATTATTATTATTTATTCAATTTATATACCGCCCTTCTCCTAGTGGACTCAGGGCGGTGCACAGCCAAAACTAAAATACATAACAATACAAGATTTAAAATTAATTAAAAGAATTATATACTTTGGCCCGAATTAAAACAGTGTGAATTAAAACCCATTAACAAATTAAAACTAAACAATTAATAACCATTAAAAACTAAAAAAGGGGGGCGGGGTTCATGATGGATCCTTGGTGCTCTTTGAGCTTGGTTGCTTTCTTGCAGAAGTTTCATTACCAAACTAGTTAACATCATCAGTGCTAGTCATCATCACCTAACACTGATGATGTTGGATATCGAAACATCTGCAAGAAAACCATCAAGTTAAGAGAGCACTAAGGACCCCTCAAACTGCCTCTGTAATTTTATTTCTGGCTCAGAAACAAACCTGATAAAAATTTCTTTCCAACAAGCCGAATGTGTTAAACAAAACAATAAAATTCCTTGACACATATTAAAGATTCTCTGCAGTGCAGAGTTGCCAGGGATCCAGCTAATGTAGAACTAAATTTAGAACCAGGAGTAGTGAAGATTCGACTTATAAAACTACTTAGCTAATGATTCTCTGAGGTTATCCAGCCATAAAGCACTAAGGCAATATCATAATAAGCTAAACAGAAAGCCCAAGGACTCTGAATCATTTCCAGTGAATAGGCTATGACCTAAAATAAAGATACTTACACGGATACATTACTGGCATTTGTTACTCACAAGCATTGCTTGTTCTATCTCCCTCAACACTGGCTTTATGATATTATATTTTTATTTTGCAATTCCTTCATAATATACAACTGTCGAGAAGTGTATATGCAGTAAGACGTATATTACTCACTTTGTTGGTGATCCATATCATTTGTCAGAAGATTCCTGATACTTTTCAAACATCTTTTGCAATTGTTTGCAAACATTAATGATCCCGTAAGCCTGCAAGACATTAACAGAGTTGAAAACATAATGATGTACTGTGATAAAATTGCATATCCAGAGTAGAAGAAGAAGATTGAAGCAAATGATAAGTGCAATAGGAAATGAGGCAAATGGATTAGAAAACGTGAAGGCTATAACAATCAGTTGCAGATTTTGCTCAGAGTTATTGCCCGCCAGCTCTATATATTTAACTACTCATAAACCAGGTGGGAAAGATTCCATAATGTTTAAAACTATAACTTCCACTTATTTATCAATTTTTTTAAATTTTACAATACTGTATTGAAAAACTCTGCCTTGATTGCTATCAGCCAGCAGGATTTTTGCTGGTCCTACAAAACCAGGGAATTTGTGGGCCAGCCTCCAAATACACTTGAAAGTCTACCAGCCTAGGGAGGATCACCAGCCTGGTTGAGTATAATGGAACATGTAGTCCAACACACAGGAGGGCCACAGATTAGAGGCGGCAAGGGTAATATGGTCTTGGCTAGCCAGCATTTATTTATTTATTGTTTTATTTATTGGTTCGATTTATATGCCGCCCTTCTCCAGAGACTCAGGGAGGCTTACAATGAGTTAAGCAATAGCCTTCATACTTTTGTATATTTATACAAAGTCAGCTTATTGCCCCCACAATCCAGGTCCTCATTTTACCTACCTCAAAAGGATGGAAGGCTGAGTCAACCTTGAGCCTGGTGAGATTTGAACTTGCAATAATTGCAAGCAGCTGGTGTTACTTTAATAGCACTTAGTGAGCTGCGCCACTAAAGGCATGATCATTTTAAAGGAGACTATGCTCATTAACATTTCAGTTCCCAAATCCACATCTTTCCTTTTAAGTCTTTGAAGTGATACAGTAATCCCTTTTAAAGTAATATTAAAACCCATTGAGATATCTGAGTTAGCCACACCAACACACATACACAAAGACAGACAGAAAGACAGGGACTAATGGCTGTTCCTTGACATGTCCTAAACTTAAAGCTTCATTTTTCTTTCTCTCAGAATCTTTAATTTGCAGAACTTGAGATACTGAACCAACCATAAACAGTTTCTATTTCTTTTTCAGAGACCAGGTGAGAGAACATTAGTAATTTTGAAAAGTATACTTGTGTAACAGAGGAAACACTCTATTTCTGAAATAGTCCTTAATGTTTGTGCTACATGTGGTTTCAAAAAGCCACAGGGTGCTTGAATCAAACAAAATAATTCAGGTTTGGCTACGAACACATATTTTCTTCTTGGCTAGGTGTCTCTGTGTGTGCATGTATATATATGTATGCAGTGGTGGAATTCAATTCTTTTTACTACCAGTTCTGTGGGCGTGGCTTGGTGGGCGTGGCAGGGGAAGGATATTGCAAAATCTCCATTCCCAACCCACTCCAGGGGAAGGATACTGTAAAATCTCCATTCCCTCCCCCATTCCAGGGGAAGGATACAGCAAAATCCACATTCCCACCCCACTCTGGGGCCATCCAGAGGTGGTATTTGCTGGTTCTCCAAACTACTCAAAATTTCTGCTACTGGTTCTCCAGAACCTGTCAGAACCTGCTGAATAGCACCCCTGTATGTATGTATGAATATACACACACATACATGTACATATACACATCTATTAACAGATAAAATTATGATGCGAAGCTATTTTCTTTTGTTCCCTTTTTTAAACAGTAATCTCCCCTCAACAACATCATAAATATCAATACCCTCTCCTTTCCCCACTCCCTCCTTCCTGGCCTTTATTCCCCATAGTTCTGAAAACGTGCTTTGAAGTCTTCTTTGTAATACTGAGTAAGATCTATAAGAAAATGGATGTGTTCTCCCTTGGGAGGGAACCTTCTAAGGAATGTGATCATTTAAAAAACAGAGAGTCTCATCAGTCAGAAGAGAATTGGTGAAAACTAAGCAACATATTTGTTAAAGATACTTAATGCTCACCACCAAATCCTGCTATGCTGCCTCATTGTAGCTGGGAGTGTGTGTGGGTGTCTCTGTGTTACAAAAATATGCCAGCAGTGCATGCCAAGAGTATAGGCTCCCAGCAAGGTCACCCAAGTCATGAAGATAATCCCAGCTGCCAGCTGAAGCAAGCAGGCACTTATGCTGGACCACGGGGATGCCGGAGGAAGAGTCATCAATTTAGTGACGATGGCAGAGTCCTCATTTCAAACAGTGTGGGAGCAAGCAGTAATAAAAGCAGTGCTGTATTTTATCAAGAAAACTACACGGATATAAAATATAAAATGGTTATTGATGATATATGGGATGATGGGCCCCTCGGGTCAAATGTCCTTTAACATGCTTCTGAGGATGAGCAGAGGATCTTTATTAATAATTAATATTAATGGTATTAATGATGCCGCTAGATTAAAGACTTGTTCTTAGTGAAATGGCTAAGAAAAAGACAATCCGAAGCTGCAAAAGCATAATTAGAGCGGGAAGATGGGATATAAGAAAAATGGACATGGGAAGGCTCAACACAGTAAAACATGAAGACATAGCAATAGCAATAGCATTTACACTTATATACCGCTTCATAGTGCTTTTACAGCCCTCTCTAAGTGGTTTACAGAGTCAGCATATTGCCCCCAACAATCTGGGTCCTCATTTTACCCACCTTGGAAGGATGGAAGGCTGAGTCAACTTTGAGCCGGTGAGATTTGAACTGCTGAATTGCAGTTAGCAGTCAGGTGAACTGCACTCTAACCACTGCGCCACCTCGGCTCTATGTAGCAACTCCACATATACATGTTATCCAACAGCCAGTTTGAAACAGGCTGGACACTAAGTAGTTCACACTGTTTATACCTCAACAGGTGTAAAACAAAGAAGGAATGGTGTTGCTTTCCTAGTCAGGAAGGAGTATAGTAAGGATAGTATTTGGATACAGTAGATTTTATTTATTTATTTATTTATTTCATCAAGCATGTATTAGATAAAAGTATAAGTATAAACATGATTATGAATACATGAAATGGATACAAATAAAAAGGGACATTAGGACAAGGACCGTAGGCACATTGGTGCACTTATGTACACCCCTTACAGACCTCTTAGGAATGGGGTGAGGTTGACAATAGACAGTCTAAGGTTAAAATTTTGGGGGTTTGGGGAAGAAACCACAGAGTCAGGTAGTACATTCCAGGCATTGACCAATCTGTTGCTGAAGTTGTATTTTCTGCAATCGAGTTTGGTCAATGACCAATGGCCAATAGATTCAGTCAATGACCAAATAGCATCAATAAGATATTGCATAAACTCTTTAAGATGTGTGGACTTAGTTTCCCAGTTTCCTAGTTCCTTGTCTTACCAATGTGTGAAACTTGTTTTACGAACCTTACCAACTGAACTAAACTGACATTGAGATGGTAAGTACCACTAGAGATAAAGAGACATACTTTCCCCAGCCTGAAAACCCTCCAGCTATGCAGACTTCAACTACTCAATGTTTCATCAATGGCTCTGTTAGAAATTCTGAGAAACTAAGCCCACATACCTGGAGAGCACCCAGATTGTGGGAATATATATTGAAGATTGATAGGTAGATCTATTAGCTTTGATCCATTCTTTGTTTGGGACACATGAGATAAGGAACTGATAAGAAAAACATCATGGCATTAATTTTTTTTTTGTTTCTCTTTTTTGAGGATCCTGCTGTGGTAGGAAAGAAATTTTAGAATAAAAATGATGGCAGTTTATAAAGAGAGGAATATCTCCTCTATAATAAAAGAACATAACTTTTGGTTATTAGTCAACACCATCTCTATTTCATCTTTCTGAAAAGATGCAGGAGCAGATGCCAAGATAAAACATGGTTGCAAACTGTACCCATATAGTTGCTAGGTAATTGCCGCATATATCCTATTTCTCTTGCTCATGTTTTGCAAAACAACAAACTGAAGTTGCTATGAATATGCAGCAGGGATTCAAGGAAAGACTGTCAGATTGTAGAAATACAAAGCAGAAAGAACAGTCTTGAATCTCTTTGAATTTATAGAACAAAGGTAAGTTTCTTTTGGAAATCATTTAGAGTTAGAGATCAAACATTTATTATTTATTTACTTTTGAGACATACCTTCTGAAACTAATTTTGGAGCCTACGTACCGTATTTTTCAGAGTATTAGATGCACCGGAGTATAAGATGCACCTTAGTTTTTGGGGAGGAAAATAAGAAAAAAGCTGATTGGCAGGTGGATCGGCCTCCCGGAATACCCCCAATCAGCTGTTCCCAGAGGTGAATTTTAGCAACAGGTTCTTTGGTTGTGAGCTCTGTGCCTTGCTTTTTTTTTGCTTTTTTTTCTGCCTCTAAAACTTCTGAAACTCCATTTCAGAAAAAACTTTGTTTTCTGCCTCTGAAAGCCTCCAAAACAGAACTTCAGAAAAAAAGCCCCTGAAACTGTTTGGGGGCTTCTTTCCTGAAGCTCTTTTTGGGGGCTTCTTTTCTGAAGCTTCGTTTCTGATGCTGTTTTCAGCCACTGAAACCTCTGTTGGAGAAGCTGGGTGGGGCTACATTCAGAGTATAAGATGCCCCCAGGTTTTCACCCTCTTTTTTGGAGAAAAAAGGTGCATCTTATACTCCGAAAAATATGGTAGTTGGATACAGGGACTATCAAGAATGCAATCAGGACCATGGACAGCTCAAATAGAAAGTACATACAAAATCCATATTGATTCATCAATTTGTACTGAGGGATTAAGGTAAATTCTACCTGATGATGTTGAGCTTGATATCTCATGTCTACATGAACCATGCTTTGGAATTTTCTGGAAGAACTACAGGCAATCTTCAACTTACAACCATTCGTTTAGTGACTGATCGAAGTTACAATGAAGTTACAATGAAGAGCATATGACGGCCGTGGCCAGGGGGGCTTTTTATCAGGTTCGCCTGATACGTCAGTTGCATCCTTTTCTGGATCGGGACTCCCTACGCACGGTCACTCAAGCACTCGTCACTTCCCGCCTGGACTACTGCAATGCTCTCTACATGGGGCTCCCCTTGGGGTGCACCCGGAGACTGCAGTTGGTCCAGAATGCGGCCGTGCAGGGGATTATGGGAGCAATGGGGTGCTCACATATAACACCTCTCCTGCGCGAGCTGCACTGGCTTCCTGTGGTCTTCCGGGTGCGCTTCAAGGTGTTGGTGACCACCTTTAAAGCGCTCCATGGCTTAGGGCCAGGGTATTTGCGAGACCGCCTTCTGCCGCCAATAGCCTCCCACCGACTGGTTCGCTCGCACAGAGAGGGCCTTCTCAGGGTGCCGTTGGCCAGACAGTGCCGGCTGGCGACCCCCAGGGAGAGAGCCTTCTCTGTGGCAGCACCTGCCCTCTGGAATGACCTGCCCCCTGAGATACGCACGATATCAGACCTCCGGTCTTTTCGTCGGGCCCTGAAACACACTTATTCCATCTAGCTGGGCTGGCTTGATCCCATCCTCTCAGTTTTTAATTTGAATTCGGTTTTAATTGGGTTGTTTTAAACTTGGGCCAAAATTATTTAATTGTTTTTTAAAATGTTTTTAAATTTTATATGCTATGTTTTATCTTGGCTGTACACCGCCCTGAATCCCGCAGGAGAAGGGTGGTATAGAAATAAAATAAAATAAATAAAATAAATAAATAAATAAATACAATGGCACTGAAAAAGGTGACTTATGACCATTTCCCACACTTTTGACTTTGATCACATGATCAAAATTCATACACTTGGCAACTGGCATGTATTTATGGCTGCTGTGTCCCAGGGTCGTGTGATCAGCTTTTGTGACCTTTTGACAAGCAAAGTCAACAGGAAATCCAGATTTACTTAACATTGTGTTGTTAACTTTAAAACTGCAGTGATTCACCTAACAACTGTGGTCAGAAAGATCATAAAATGGGGCAAAACAATTAACAATTGTCTTACTTAGCAATGGAAATTTTGGGCTGGATTGTAGTCATATATTACCTGTATATGCACTGATATTCTTAAAGCAAGAGAAAGGCATTACATATTTCATGATTTTTACTAAGTTCTATATATCACATTTCGTTAACAGAGCACTTAACTTTGCTCATAAACAACATAACTTTAACCACCAATAGGATCAGGTAGAAGAATTATATTTCTGAGACTGTATTAAATTACTAGCCAGTCAGAATAGACAATCATGTAGACATTTCTCTCTTTAACACTCTATTTGTCATTAACAATTGCACCGATTATGCTAGTCAGCAATTTCCTTATTCACTACTTCTTATAAAGGTGAAAGCAATATATGTCTCCCATGACTGGAAGTTCTCCCATGATGCAAGTTTAACAATACCCAAAATATGCAAAATATTCAACTAGCGCAGTCAATAAGAGCAATGTACATCAGGAAGCAGTGTAGCTTTTAAACATGATTACTGATCATGATTATGATTACTTACTGGTTAAATAATTTATGGTTCCACACAAATGTATTTCCACTACAGGTGGTCCTCACTTAGCAACCACTCATGTGGTCACTGTTTGAACTGATGACAGTGCATGACGAGTGGTACACAGGACCAGTCCTTGAAGTAGCAGCCATCAAAGCATCCCCATGGCCATGTGATTGTGATCATGGGACTGCAGTGGTTAGAGTGCAGTACTGCAGGCTACTTCTGCTGACTGCCGGTTGCCTGCAATTTGGCAGTACAAATCTCACCAGGCTCAAGGTTGACTCACCCTTCCATCCTTCTGAGATGGGTAACATGAGGACCCAGATTGTTGGAGGCAATATGCTGACTCTGTAAACCACTTAGAGAGGGCTGTAAAGCATTGTGAAGCAGTATATAAGTCTAAGTGCTATTGCTATCTAGGCACCCTGCTCACAATTATGACATTGCAGTGTCTGTGGTCATGTGAATGCCATTTGCCAGGCAATAAGGCAGTTGATCCTCATTTAATGATCCATGTGACATCCTTATTTAATGATTACAACTGGAAATGCCAGAATTTCCATAACTAAATAGTGCAGTCATGTAAGATATGCTTTATCTCTTAAGATGTCCCTTAATGATAGAAATTCTAGTCTCATGTACCATTGTTAATCTATAGTCATTTCATATGGGAACTGGTATTTGCTTTTTTCTGTGACCTGTACTTAGACTTTGGTGAATTAAAGATGACAGGTGAGAGGTAGTGAAACAACAGAACAAGAGGTAGTCTCATTGACAGCAGATTTACAGGATTACTAGTATTAACAGTAAACAGTAAAACAGTAAAAGAGCCAAGGTGGAACAGTGGTTAGAGTGCAGTACTCCAGCTACTTCAGCTGACTGCTAGTTCAGCAGATCAGCAGATCAAATCTCACTGGCTCAAGGTTGACTCAGCCTTCCATCCTTCCGAGGCGGGTAAAATGAGGACCCAGATTGTTGGGGGCAATATGCTGTTTAGTATACTGTCTTTGGTGTAAGCTGCCCAGAATCCTCGGAGGGTGGGCGGCATAGAAATATGACTAATAAAATAAATAAATAAATAAATAAAACAGCAAGATCAAATGGGACAATTTTGCCATTGACTCCAGTATTGTTCTACCTCAAAACTGTCCTTTTATTTTCTTCTATGATCTAGAATTTATCAAGTTATTTGTAGGACTGGTAATATCCCTAATATTTTTAGCCATGGAACCACTGCGCACATTTAGAGGTTTCAACACATACTGAGAAAGCTCAAGTGAGATCTCATTGGGCACTTTTAACCAACACACGTCATACTGAAGACGAAGTTTGGTGCCTAGAAACTGGGAAACGGTGAGTTCTAGTCCTGCCTTAGCCATGAAAGCTAGCTGGGTGACCTTGGGCCTATTGCTCACTCTCTCTCAGTCTAACTCACCTCACAGGGTTGTTGTTGTTGTGCGGAAAATAGTAGGAGAAAGGAGAATTGGTATATTCACCGCCTTGTGTTGTATATGAAAAAAAGTGAGATATTTAAAAAAAAAAAATCCTAGCCTGGAAAGAATATATCCCCAGGTGTTCAGAGACCTATTCTTCTTCCTACCTGCCAACCTTCTTCTCCTTTTTCTAACCGAACCTGGAATTTTCTTAAGACAGAACTCCTGCTCTGTCTCTGTAATTTAGCAACCCTACAAAAAAAAAAAATCTCCACCTTCTCAATTAATGACTGTCAGCTGAACTTGTAACCTGCCTCTTCTGCAGCTATTTTGCATTTGTGATGCTGTGAACTGTCAAAAAAAATCTGTTGCTTTTCGGGTTGATGTACAGGGAGCCATTTCACACCATGAAATGCCGTGAATGGGGAATGTGCCCCTGTGAAGGCCACCCCTCCCCCAACATTGTGAGAAAGCAAATGAGGGAATTTTGGCTCTTTCTCAAACTTTTCTTCCTTCTCCCATTGCCTGATTCATCTTTTAACCAGCTTTATTTGTGGCAACACAAAGCTCTGTGTTGCTATGCTTTTTTTTTTTCTCACCACCTCCACACCTGACATCTTCGGCAGAACAAAAGAATGTTATTATAACAGAGCATAAAATGGGCCCGAGTATTTTACTACTGACATTTCGAAAACAAAGTGAGAAGGGAGAGAAAGACTGGCACATTTTATCAGGTTGTGCAGGTGGCCAAAAGTTCCTAAAGTGATGAATATCTCCAATTCATCTCTCTTTTTCTTTTAATCTCCCCTCTTTCTGTGATATAAGCTCCTGTGCCAATGAGCGAACTATGTAGTTTCTCTTGAAGTTTCCATTTCAGCCTCACGGGAATAGAATAAGCTGAAAGAGGCAATTAGCCCACTTCTGCATCTTAAACATGCTTGGTTCTCTGTGTGTAGCTTTAATTTGTGGTTTCTACCTACCACTCTTTGACTGAACACTGATGCAAAGAAATCTGTATGGAATTGCCATCCTACCTGATGCTCAAGGAATTTTATTCTAAATCTGGTTGTTTTCTACAAGCTCTTGTATCCAGTGGTGGGTTTCAAATTTTTTTACTACCGGTTCTGTGGGCGTGGCTTGGTGGGCGTGGCATGACTTGGTGGGCGTGGCTTGGTGGGCATTGCAGGGGAAGGATACTGTAAAATCTCCATTCCCTCCCCAATCCAGGGGAAGGCTACAGTAAAATCCCTATTCCCTCCCCACTCCAGGGGAAGGATGCTGCAAAATCCCCATTTCCGCCCGATCAGCTAGGATTTGGGAGGCAGAGAATAGATGGGGGCAGAGCCAGTCAGAATTTTTACTACCAGTTCTCCAAACTACTCAAAATTTCCGCTACCAGTTCTCCAGAACTGGTCAAAACCTGCTGAAACCCACCTCTGCTTGTATCTTAATAAAATTCCTCTCAATAAAAATCTTCAGGTTGCTGTTAATTTTCCATAATTTTTCCCATTTGTTTAGTTCTATAGGATATCAGTACGGTACAAAGAAAATATCTACAAGATGTTTTATAGAAGGCATCTCCCACCAGCACGGATCTCCAAAATGTTCCCCAATACATCTTCACTCTGCTGGAAATGCAAAGCAGAAAAAGGGACATACTACCACATGTGGTGGTCGTGTCCCAAAGCCAAACAATTCTGGAATAATATCAAAACCATCTTGGAACAAATAACAGCTCAAAAAGTACCACTAAAACCGGAAACATATTTATTAGGCATATTTACATGTAATTATGAAAGAGAAATAACATATTTCATCACACATATTTTGACTGCCTCAAGGATCACTTATGCACAAAATTGGAAGTTGGAAGAAGTCCCAACACAAGATAGAATAATATTTAAAATCATGGAATGTGCTGAGATGGACAGACTCACCAAGGAAATTCAAGGAAAGGAAGAATCTGACTACTACCTGGTTTGGCAAAGGTGGTATCAATGGTTAGAGGGAAAAACCAAAACCAAAAGAGAATCCTAAAAGAGTAAAACAAAATTCTGTACCAAATAAGATATAACAACACATAATTAAATATTAAAAAGTAATATTGTTATATAAGGCGAGAGGAAGGAATGCATATCGAGGAATTTAGGTTATTGATGTCGGAGGAAATCAGACATTACATTTAGATGTTATTTATGTTATTAATGTCGTATTTGTCGCATTTGTATGTTTATGTGTATGTGTATTTTGTGTGTTTATATATGTAATAAAAATTTATAAAAAAAAAATCTTCAGGTTTTTAAACAAAATTAAATGCTCCTCAAATCCAGATTTTTTTTTTCACCATGTAACTCTCCAGAGCAAAATGCTATGGAGTTTTAATGAAAAGCCAATGAAAGGATCTTCCCCCTCCAACCTGGTGCTCTTCACCTCTGTCTAATATTTCAGACCCTGTAATTCCAATGTCAATGCTGCATTGGCATCATGAGAACTGAACTCCAGCAGATCTGGAAACCTTTAAGGTCAAGAAGGTAGCCTTCGTGTCTCATTAAAGAGAGATCCAACTGGAGTTATGGAGAAATTTGCCAACAGTGAGAACAATTAATCAGTGGAACAGCTCATCTCCTGAAGCTGTGGGTGGTTGGTTTTCAATAAGAGTTTGAAAACCCGCAATGGTATAAGGTCTCCTGCTCGAGCAGGGTCCCTGCCAGCCCTATGATTCTACATTAACATTGGTTAAGTGAGTTTTTATGACTTTTCTTGCCATGGTTCCTAAGCGAGTCACTGCAATTGAGAGGTTCATCATATGGTTGTGAAGTGAATCTGGCTTCCCCGTTGACTTTTGTTTGAGAGAAAGTTGCAAAAGGTGATTGCAACTTTCATAAATAGGACTCAATCGCCAAGCCTCTGAATTTTGATCCCATGACGATGGGGGATGCCCCAAAGGTCGCAAATGTGAAAAAACTGACATCACATGTCCCTTTCTTCAGTACCATAGTAACTTTGAACGGTCACTAAATGCACTGTTATAAGTCAAGGACTACTTGTGGAAACGCCATTCTCCTCTGCTTGAAAAATTCCTTGGCAAGATTCCAAATACTCCCTTCCCTGGCTAGGTGGCTCACTGGCTAAGACACTGAGTTTGTCGATCAGAAAGGTTGGCAGTTCAGTGGTTTGAATCCCTAGGACAGATCTCCTGTGTGAGCAGGGGGTTGGACTAGATGACCTCCAAGGTCCTTTCCAACTCTGTTACTGTTACTGGTTCTTCCTTTCCTCCAGATCCAGGGGTGAAATCCAGGAAGTTCTGGAGAACCGGTAGCGGAAATTTTGAGTAGTTCAGAGAACTGGTAGCGGACATTTTGAGTAGTTTGGAGAATTGGCAAATACCTCCTCTGGCTGGTCCCAGAGCGGGGTGGGAATGGAGATTTTGCAATATCCTTCCCCCAGGAGTGAGGAGGGAATGGGGATTTTGCAGTGTCCTTCCCCTGGAGTGGGGTGGGAATGGAGATTTTGCAGTATCCTTCCCCCGCCACGCCCACCAAGCCACACCCACAGAGCCGGTAGTAAAAAAACAATTGAATTTCACCACTGTCCAGATCAAGCAACTTCTCTAAAGATATCTCAAAGGTGCTTTTTTTTTTTTTTTCCTTCAAGAGGCAACTGGACTTTCTGGTGTCCAGTTGCCTCTTGGGGGGGGGGCACCTTTGGGACAACCATGACCACCTGGATGACTGAGCATCTCCATAGACTTTCTTTCTTTCTTTCTTTCTTTCTTTCTTTATTTATTTATTTATTTATTTATTTATTTATTTATTCAATTTATATGCCGCCCCTCTCCGAAGACCCAGGAAGGCCCACAATACACTCAAAAAAATCACTATAAAAACACTTAAAAATTAAAAACATTAAAACCCATTCACACCATTCATGGCCGGATCTCCTCAGATCGCAAAGCGAGACTTCTCTAAAGACATGGGAAACTTGGTGCAGGAGGGAGGGGGGGAAAGAGCAGGATACCGAAGCCCTTGAGAGCCGTCCTGGGGCTCAACCCAAAGCAACCTCGTCAGAGTCCGCGCTTGAACCCCAAGGCCCTGACCTCACATTCTTGTTCGCCTTGCCTCCCTCAGCGGGGCGGGACTACATCTCCCAGAATGCCCCAACCAAGCGCTCCGCCCCGCCGGCTCATCCCAGTCCCCCGCTTCTCCACCCGCTTCTCGCCTCGAGGGAGGCAGGAGGACGGAGGCGCGTGGAGAAGGGACCGCGACAACAACAACAACAACAACAACAACAACAAGTGCCCGTTCGGGGCGGCCCCGATGGAGCCAGCGGGGGACGGACAGCGGCGCTTTTTTTCTTCTTCTTTTTTCTTTTTGCTCCCGATGGAGTCAAACCTCTGGGAAAAAAAGGTCCGTGAAGAGGGCAGGGAAGGGGGCTGAGCGGGCGCTGCCCGGAGATGAAAAGGGACGGGAGTTTTAGCTCTACTTTCCTAAGGGTCTTTTTTTCCCACCCCACCCCACCCCACCCCACCCTCGATCCGGACGTCTTCATGTCACCCGGTTAATGGGGTTTTAGTCCATTTGCTAGGTGTTGACAGTAAAAAAAAAAAATGCACTAAAATAGCTAAATAGCTATTTTTGCTAAAAAAAGCGGACGGGATTGATATACCCCGTGCGCTAAAACGGGGTTGGGGGAGTCGGACACACCTCGGATGTGTGTGTGTGGGGGGGGGGGAACCTGCGAAGCTTTGCAAATCGCCCTCTGGATCGGCTTCCCACGCGTCGCGGGGAATGTGGACAAGGCTCTTGGATGGAGCGGCATAAATCGCAAGGCGATTCCCCTGCCCCCTTCCCCCTTCTCCTTCCCCCCCCCACCCCACCCCATCCCAACAGGCGCACACTTTCTGTTTCAGGCGAGCCTTGCTTCCTTTCTCTGATCGCGCTTGGAGGAAAGCGGAGAGCTGCCCCCCTTTGAACCCTCATCTTCTAGAGATGATTTCATGGGCAGCTTTTGGGATCAGAGAGGCTGGGAGATGGGATTCCCCCTCTGACCCCCTCCCCCTTCTCCTGGGATGCTCAGATTTCCCCTGGAGAACCACAGATCCTGGGTGACTTGAGCTCAGGGAGGGATTGGCTGGCTCCTTTCTGATTAGATTTTTTTTTTTTTAACATTTGGGTCTGGGTGAATGTGAGATGCCAAGTTTGCCTTTGCCCTTTCGGATGGCATTTTGCAGGGGGTTGATGGGCTTTGCCCTTGAGTGCTGGAAGGGATGAAGGATCTGTGTTGGCTGAGCTTTCTTTTCTTTTCTTTTCTTTTTTTTTTTTTCCAAAATTTGCAAAGAGTTATTTCTAAAAGCCGATTAGAGTTCCTAAATTGGTTTAAGATAAGCAGAGTTTAGCTTTCAGTGACTGGTTAAAGCCTTTGCATTGGCTGTTTCCCCGTCCGCTTGCAGAGACACTGGGATAAAAATCAGGGTAATGACTCTATAATCTCTCTTGCAGTTCTGCTACGTTTCCCTTTGTTTCACAACAGATCTACCAACGAAGCTGCTTCTCCTCTTCCTGTGACAACGGCAGGCTCAAAAAGGAGGCATCGCCAAGTCAATTTATTTAATTGAGTGGTGGTGGTGGCTGAATCGGAAACCAGTAAAATGGGAGCCAAAGGTCAGAAGTTGCGGGCGAAGACGCCTCACAACCACTGAAATGGCAACCGGCTTGCATTTGCCAAAACTGCAGAGATGTAAATGGTCAATTGGACTTGTGCTCTGAAGCACCCATGGCATGTATGGAGATCTTGCAAGTCACCAGAGAGGGAGTTCCATCCGCTGAGTGCCACGGTGTAGGTTGGAGTTTGCATGCTACATCATCATGCCAGGGCCGGCCTGATGAAAATGGGACGAAGAATAGATTCCTAGTTATGACTGCCGAATGCTGCGAGCAGCATTGTAAAGCTGCTGAACAGGAAGCCAAGGAAGAACTTGCTCAGCCTTCTCTCGCCCTCCTTGCGGTATCATCGTTGTCCCCAGAAATTACGGCAGCTGGTCATCTCATCTGCTCCAACTTTTCAAAGGAAGAGAAGGAGACCGCCTGCAAAAATGCCTGTTGCTGTGAATCGGAGACATCCTTCACCTGCGTGGATGAAAACACCAACCACCTCAATCACCCAGGGAGTCTTGCATATGGTAGCTGTTGCCAAGACCAAGAGTTCCTTCCCCATCCTGACCCTGACACAGAGATGCCTTCAGAATGGCCCTACGATCCACCTTCCTTAATGTCCGAGGAAGAGGATGATGCTGGCTCCGAAACTGCTGGTGGAAAATCTATTGATTATAGCTTCATCAGTGCCATCTTGTTCTTGGTCACTGGGATTTTGTTGGTGATCGTTTCCTATGTGGTGCCCAGAGATGTAACTGTGGATCCCAGCACAGTGGCAGCACGGGAGATGGAGCGCCTAGAGAAGAAGAGTGCCCGGATTGGGGCTCACCTAGATCGGTGTGTAATTGCTGGGCTCTGTCTGTTGACCCTGGGAGGTGTTGTGTTGTCCAGTTTACTGATGATGCAAATGTGGAAAGGAGAACTCTACAGGAGGAACCGATTTGCAGCTTCCAAGGAGTCAGCCAAACTGTATGGATCTTTCAATTTCCGAGTGAAATCCTCTACAAGTGATAATATGGAGTTATCACTCGTGGAAGAGGAAGCTCTTGCTGTAACAAGTTAGCCTGGCCTTGATATAATGAAGCAGCAAAAATGGGTGTAGGGGATAACTTGCATTAAATGGAAGCAAAGGATCCTTAAAACAGCTAGCGCTACTGACAAAAGCGCCTTTGCCAACACATCAAAAGGAAATTTTGCATTATAAAGATGTATCATATTAAACAGGGAAAAAGAAAAGAGATCGCGTTCAAAGTAGGTTCTACAGGTAGTCATTGGCTTCCAACCATGCATTTAGTCACCCTTCAAAGTTACCCAAAAAAATTGATTTATGACTAAGTTTTTCACACAACTGTTGCCGTATTCCCACGGTCACATGATCAAAATTCAGGCACTTGGCAACTGGCATGTATTTATGACTGTTGCACTGTCCTGTTTTCTTGTGATCATCATTTGTAACCTTCCCAACCAGCTTTTGACAAGCAAAGTCAATACTTAACAACTCTGGCAAAAAAAAAAAAAGGTTGTAAAACAGGGTGCAACTCACTTAACAATTGCCTTGTTTGCCAACAGAAATATTGGGCTTACTTGTGGTCATAAGGCGAGGACTACCTGTACTGTCTGTAGCAGGGGTCTCCAACCTTGGCAACTTTAAGACTTGTGGACTTTAATTCCCAGAATTCCTCAGCCAGCAAAGCTAGCTGATGAATTCTGGGAGTTTAAGTCCACTGGTCTACAGAAAGTGTATAGCTGTCTTGGTGTTCATAGAAACCAGCTATGGTGAATTTCCAAGCACGTGGACTTTGAAGGAAGCTTTATTCAGAATTTGTGATAGTCAGCAGGGTGGTACCACATTAAACTCTACATTATCAGACTGCAACAGCTATTTCATTTATTTAGTTACTTATTCATAAGATTGATATTCCAACTCTTATCCAGGACTCCAGCTTCCAATTGTACCCCACATCATCAGTTCCATGAGGCTTACATCAAATTCAGCTACAGAGTTTTCCATGATTGAGAATGGACTTGAACCTTGGGTCTCCTAACCCTAGTTTAGCCCCTTAGCCATTACACCATGATGGCTACTCTTGTAACCATCAGACAAGGCCATGTGGGAATTGCATTTATTATGAGCTGCAAATTCAGTTTTGTGGAACCATTTTGGGGCATTAGGGAAACAAAAATGCTGCTCTTGAATCTCTATCTAGACCTACTATTTCAGTTTCCCACACAATGATGCTATGCTGAAGATATTGGAGGAAACGGAAGTGGCAACGTGAAGAGTTAGGCAAGATATTGTGAGTCTTGTTGGGTTGTTAGGATTCTAGCAATTACTCTTGGGTGCTGGATTCTGTCAGTGGCCCTGATGCGTTATATGGGCCCTCTGTTCACTTGCATACTGTCTTAAATATATGAAGAGGCCATCCCTGATTGACATCATATCATTGCAGAGCAAGCTGGATTGTGTAGAAAGTCAAGAGTGGTTCTCTATTGTTCAGAAGACTGGGCATGAGAGAATTCAAGTTACAGGAACTCAAATTCTGATTGAATATTAGGAAACTAAACACCTAAGTATTAAAACAGTTGGAAATTAGAATCAGTTAGCCAGAGAAGTTCACTTTATTCCAAATTAATGTCAGAGGGTGGTGGTAAGGTGGAATAGAGGCTCTGTGATCTCAGTCAGTTGTTCCAATTCTATATTACCATAATTTTTGGAGCATAAGATGCACCGAAGTATAAGGCGCACCCTAGTTTTTGTGGAGGAAAATAAGAAAAAAGCTGATTGGTGGATAGATCGGCCTCCCGGAATACCCCCAATCAGCTGTTCCCAGAAGTGAATTTTAGCAACAAGTTCTTTGGTTGTGAGCTCTGTGCCTTGCTTTTTCTTCTACCTATGAAATTTCTGAAACTCTGTTTCAGAAAAAACTTTTTTTCTACCCCTGAAAGCCTCCGAAACAGCTTCAGAAAAAAAGCCTTTTTTTCTGAAGCTCTGTTTGGAGGCTTTTTTTCTGAAGCTTCTTTCAGAGGCTTTTATTCTGAAGGACTATCTCTTCTTTGATATAGAACCAGTGCGAACTGGGGGCAACCCACCACTGGGACTAATTCAATAAACTTGGCACTTCACATGATGACTGCAGTATCAAATGATGAAATATATGTGGGAATAAGATATCCCACATTCAAAACTCCAGATTATTCATTACTCCTTTTTAGTGAGACTATCTCTGGCACCACAAATAACCATCTATTATTTCAGAATTAAGTAAAATACATCACTCCAAAATTCAAAATTATACAAAGCTAACCTCAAAAACCTTCCAATAAAACATATCAAAAACTTTCTCAGGACCCACAGAAATTATAGTTGTTCAGACTTGTTTATTTTGAATTATGCCAGCATACATCAAGTCTGGTTTAGATATTGGTATATAGATTAACCTCTTCCAATCTGTTGGTTATTGTGTCATTCTCCAGATTTGTTAGCATAATTTGGTTAGAACGTTTACTGATTCTTCTTTTGTTGCTTGCCATATTATTTTAGATAAAAGCCTTTCAGAGTCTTTTTTTTCCCTGAAGTTCTGTTTGGAGGCTTTTTTTCTGAAGCTTCGTTTCTGAATCTTTTTTTCTGAAGCTTCTTCAAAAAGGTGCATCTTATACTCCAAAAAATATGGTAGGTGCCCAGATTTGACTTAGCATCTTGGGCAAATGCAGTTGCTGGTTCTTTAATTGACTTTGATTGGGTTGTCAGCCAAGTCTAGGTAGACAAGATCAGAAAAGGCTACAGGAAGATTAGAACTACACTTTATTAAGAGAAGGTGCAATAACATGATTTTGTAAGCCTGATTGTACTATTCCCTCCCCTTCCTTCCTATATTCCTGTGGATCAGAGAAGTGTTTGCTTGAGGCACTTCCAATCATTATCTTACTTCCCAGGATTTAAAGAAAGTCTCTGCCTCCTCCTAGATAGTAGTTCTCACATATTTCTATCAAGGTGGTTTCCCTTACTACATAGGTGAATGTATCCAATTTATATTGTATGTTCTTTAAAATAAGCATGAAATGGAAAGCATGTTTTGTTTTGAACCTGGAGCAAACAAGATTGTTTCTTGGAAGTTCTGCCAGGTTTCTGGGTGGGATATTGTTTGGCAGAAAACCTGAAACAAATTAGAAATTCCAAATTTCAGCTGAAACAAAATCCAGACAAAACCTATAGGGCAAGTAGAGCAAAGTTAGAGCACTTTTCCCCTCTTCCACATTGCCTGTGCATTGATCCACCCACCAATCTCCTTGCTAACTTCCTTTTTCTACCTCTCCTTACGCTGAGCTTTAAGCCAAGGGCATTGGTGATGGCAATAAGGGGAGGTAAGGAAAAGAGGGCAGGCAGACTAATTGAATAGTTGATTTGAAGTCAAAAGACAGCTGTGCAACTATCCATCCACTTTCCCATAATTCTGTCAGTGCCTTCTCTGTTGTGGCCGCTGCCATCCATTGCTTTGGCTCTATCCCACTCTAACACCCAAATCATTTCAGCCTAGAATACACATGTTTTGTTCTGCATACAAAGGAAACTAGCTGATTGATGCACATAGTAATTTATATACAGAATAAAAAGCCAGTGGTTAGAATGCAGTATTGCTGGCTAACTCTGCCCATAGCCAGGAGTTTGATCCTGACCGACTCAAGGTTGACTCAACCTTCCATCCTTCTGAGCTTGGTAAAATATGGACTCAAATTGTTGGGGATAATATGCTGACTCTGTAAACTGCTTAGCGAGGGCTGTAAAGAACTATGAAGTGGTTAATAGATATAGAATAACAGAGTGGAAGGGACTTTGGAGGTCTTCTAGTCCAACCTCCTGCTTAGGCAGGAAACCCTACACCATTTCAGACAAATGGTTATTCAATCTCTTCTTAAAAACTTCCAGTGTTGGAGCATTAAGTTTAAATAAATCAGTGTTATTGCTATTACTATTTTGAATTGCTAGATTTAAGACATGATGTGTCGAAGGACAGGCTATCTGTTCATATCTAAACCAGACTTGATATATGCTGGCATAATTCAAAATAAACAAGTCTGAACAACTATAATTTCTGTGGGTCCTGAGAAAGTTTTTGATATGTTTTATTGGAAGGTTTTTGAGGTTAGCTTTGTATAATTTTGAATTTTGGAGTGATGTATTTTACTTAATTCTGAAATAATAGATGGTTATTTGTGGTGCCAGAGATAGTCTCACTAAAAAGGAGTAATGAATAATCTGGAGTTTTGAATGTGGGATATCTTATTCCCACATATATTTCATCATTTGATACTGCAGTCATCATGTGAAGTGCCAAGTTTATTGAATTAGTCCCAGTGGTGGGTTGCCCCCAGTTCGCACTGGTTCTATAGAACTGGTAGTAAAAGTGGTGGGAGGCTCCGCCCACCAACCCGACGTCATCAAAATGCTTCTGTGCATGCGCAGAAGAGTACGCGCATGCACGAGCAAAGCACACGTGCATGTGCGGCCCCGCTGCAAACTGGTAGTAAAGGTAAGTTGAACCCACCCCTGATTAGTCCCATGTCATTAAACCTGAGATGCTATCTTGACTTTTGCATTTTAGTAGACCATATGCTCATGATAGGGTAGCACTTCCTATTTTTCTTCTACGTCAGTACTTTTTAAACCTGGCTACAGTTCTGACTGGAGAATACTGACAGATGAAGTCCATCCATCTTAAAATTGCCAAATTTGAAAAAGATTGTCTGGGTTATGTCGGTATTCTTTTCCAAAGAAGTCCTATGATTCTCCAGTCTTAATAGGACAAGAGATTTGGAGAGTAATATTTGGGGAAAATATTATTAATTTTGTCGCTCAGAAAATGGTCCTACTTTCTGTAGATTTTTTTTTTTGTCTCAATAAATCCATAGTTCTCTCTCTACCCCACTCACTTCTCTAAAACATGAATAGTTCTCATTCTAAACCAGGGGTCTCCAACCTTGGCAACTTTAAGACTTGTGGAATTCAACTCAGCTTGCTGGCTGAGTGATTCTGGGAGTTGAAGTCCACAAGTCTTAAAGTTGCCAAGGTTGAAGACCCCTGTTCTAAACCACCTACATCACAATAGCATCCATGAAATAGTTTTGTAGTACTGCTTCAATTACTGCAAATATAGGAACTTGTTAGAACGAATTCTTTCCAGAAAGGTTGCCCATTTACAGCAGATTTGTACAAAAAGCTTTAGGAAGATGGAGATAATTACTTCAGACATGGATGGAGATGCTTCAAATAACAATAGTCATATTTATCAGGACATTTCTCATAATCAAAATGGGATGGATACTAGTTTCTCATGGTGCTGTTCTCTTCTAAGTGAGATAAGCAATGTTATGCAAAGTACAGAAAAGAGTAAGAAATAACACAGTAAGCCAATAGAATTAAGGTGCAAGATGAAAAAAGTATAACTAACCAAGTGAACAGAAGCTTCTACCCGGCCATTTTCAACACAGAGATTTTACAGCCGATCACATATTAATCCGAACCTTTCTACCACCATTTGCCCATCTTAATATTTCCATGTTTACATCTTTAATAAACTTTCTACCAATTTTTCAGTTTTATCTATTTGAGATTTTCATCATTTTCTGCATCAATTGCTTCTGTTAAACCAATTACCTTAGACATGGATGTTAAATTTTCAGTTTTACACTCCTTGTAATTTGGATTTACAATCCAACCCATCATTCAGTGCAATTTTTTCTGGGTTCTCAGCCTATGTAGCATCTATTTTACAGAGCATATGCATAATTATATTCCTACCCAGCATATTTCTGTCATCACTTCAAGCATTCCTTATACATTTGTCCATCGATGCTTTTAGTATCCAAGATGGTACCAAATATTTGCAGTGGCTTGAGACAATAAAAAGGGCCCTCAGTGGAAGGGATGTTATAGGCTACAAAATTGTTCTGACCCAGCTCCCCAAACACGACAAATCCTCTGAAGTTAACTCAAAGATTCCTTTATTACGAGCGCCAGCAGCCCCGGCAACAAGTTTCTCTCTCACCACGGACTAACAAGTCCATCTGGCCGGAAAATGAATAGTTGTCTGCCACATCTATTCATCTACACCACCTGCCTTTTATCCCCAGAGCTAGGGTGGGGCTTTGTTAGCAGCAGTGGCTCTTCCTTCCCAAGGATCGGCCCAAGGATTTCCACTGCTCTCCTCTCCTTCTGTGCATCTGCGCATCAGGCACTGGACCCAGCTGTTCCTCCTTATCATCATCAGCCACCTCCAGACCTGGGGGCTGTTAACTCTCCATCTGAGGGCTGACGGACAGCCCAGGCTCCGCTTCTCTCTCTCTCTCTCTCTCTCTCTCTCTCTCTCTCTCTCTCTCTGTCTCTGTCTCTGTCTCTGTCTCTGATTCAGCTGCTGGAGGGGCCGGCGGCTGACAGGCCTCAACAAAAACCAAGAGTACAAAGGGCTCCAGAGTGCCAGCTAATGTAGATCAGGACCCAGGGCTCAGGGGGACGAAGGAAATCTCTTGAAGCTTTCTAAGTCCAGCTAGTTGACTTAGATCAGGCTATTTAACTGAACCGTGCAAATGTCATGCTATGAAAGTGTGCTGGTATTTAAAACAAAAGGCATAAGCAGGCTGCCCAGATGGTGGTATAATTAGTTTCATAATTCTAAAACACTTCAGACTGGACCATTTTTCAGGTACCCCTGTGAGTTGGCTGGACAGTGATTTGGCAGTCAATGGATATTTGCATATTTCCAAAATTAAGTGTACCAACTCCCTTTAATTTAATAGAGGATACAGACGGAAAAGTGGGCTTTGATCCCTCTGTAACCCTCTGGGGCCTTCTTCTTGATCCTGGCAGCCTCTGAGCTTTTGGCTATGATTCCTTTCCCAAAGCAAAATGGATTCTTGACATGAGATGTCAGGATGATGCAAGTGGAAAAAAACAAGAGGGCTGAATTGGAATGTCTTCTGCTCTATTTATCACAACCACACTTTTATTTCTTTATTTCTGTTGGAGCAGTATAGTAGCGCATCCTTCTCAAAGGATAGCAGTCCTGGTCTGCGAAAGGATAGG